TTGTACTAAACATAGCAGTTGATCCTAACCAGAATAAAACAAATATATATTTTAAATTCTACAAAATTATATAGACTCACACTTTCATAAAAACACATACCTTCAGGTTTATAAAATGTATTTACCGTTTTTCCATTTAGAACACTAAGGGGAAGCATACGCACATTACAGAATTGCTTTGTACACCTTATACACCCATCTTTATGACATCGTAGCTGTTATGGAGCACTGACCTCCAATTAAACACATGCTAAGAATCTGAAGCCAAAACAATGATGGTGGATAATTTATTTTTTTCACATAAGGGGTAATTATTCATCCATGATCATCACAACTTCAGAACTTCTCAGACTTCTGTTTTTCCCATATGAACTTCTAAAAATATTGATCTAGATGTAAGTTAGATTTAACTATAGAATCAACAAAAATCAAAGATACCTCAAAAACCATCACAAAAAAGGGGAAAAATAAAACAATTCCTTTCCCCAAAAATATTTAGAAATCATTCCCATTCTTTGTTTCCTAAGTGATTTTTATATCTCTCAAGGGAGGGGTTTTTTTAACCTCTCTTTCCTTTTGAAAGTAAATTACCATTTTAATAGGTTTCATAATATTTATTTAAGTTTTTATTTGACATTTAGACCTAAATTCACCACATCTAATTTTTTATTACAGCCCTTTTTTGAAGAAAGTGTCTTGTAAACTTTTAAATACTATATATGAAATACATGAATAGTAATATTAATAATAATAACAATAATCCTATAAAGCCCAACCTATCAGCAAGCCTTTGAGCTATTGGGGGAATTTGGCAAAGTAGTATGATGTGTATCAGTATGATGGGCATCAGAGACTTCCTATGACTCTTGACCTTTGATGGATATGAAAGGCTGACAGTGACCTGAAACTATTGGGTTTGGGTGACACAGTGGAAAAAATTCGCAGACCAATCAATGTGACTCCTAAGAGTCAAAGAATTAGATAGACTGGCACAACAATACACAGCCCAATTCAAAACCACAGAGATAATCAGCTTGACTTGGAGAAGAGCAGAGAAAGTGATGCTCATTCATGTTCTGGTACCACAAGAAGCCAATACATACCAGAATAAATCAGAGATACTCATATCCCACCTGTTGGAAATGATTCAATGCAAATTGTCCTGATAATTAAGAGTTGGCATACCAAGAGAGTACATAAAATGGACTGGAGATGCAAATGTTGGCATTATATCAATCAACCAATAAACATTTATTAAGCAGATAGTATTATATGTAAAATTTGAATTGGAAATATATATTTCAGGAATAGATGAGGAGGTTACTGCTTTATGTCAATAGTACCCTCAGCTCCACATCACATAAAGATATATTGGAGCCTAACACAGGGAAATCATAAGAAATAACTTTATTTTTAAGCTGAGATTGAATGAAATGAAATAAAGCAGCTACTAAAATGTGAAGAGAGTTGAAAAACCTCAGGTCACTGAAAATCTTCACTTAACACAAATGCCAGAAATTTCATAGCAGGGCGTCTGAGAATGTTTGTTCAAGATGATAAAAGGTTACCTGTTGAGCCTCTTGCAGGAGGCAAAAACAGAAATCTCTCTCTCTCTCTCTCTCTCTCTCTCTCTCTCTCTCTCTCTCTCTCTCTCTCTCTCTCTCTCTCTCTCTCTCTCTCCCTCTCCTCTCCTCTCTTCTCCTCTCCTCTTCACTTCTCATCTTTTCTCTTTCCCCTCAGATTCCCATTCTTGGAATGAGCGTGTCACCAGTATGATCTACTTGCTCCACTTGGAGGCAGGGGGAGAGAATATACAAGAAGTTGGGAAGAAGAGTACAAGTTATGAAAGGCTTTGAACACCAAAAAGGATTTTATACTTGACCGTGGAGATGATAAAAAGACACTGGGATTTATTGTATAGGAAGATGACATAGTCAGACCTGTACATTAGGAAGATCACATCGCCATTAGTGGAGAAAGGACTGGAGTGGGAAGAGTTTTGAGACAGAGAGACCAAACAGCAGGCTATTCCAATAGTGCAGGTGAGAGGTTATGAGAGTCTACACCAAGGTTGTAGCTGTGCCAGGGGAGAAAAGGGGAAATATATGTGAGATATTAAAAAGGTAAAATTGACAGGACTTGGCAGCTAAATAGATAGGAGGGATAAGAGAGTGAAGAGAGGAGGATATAACACCTACGTTGCAAATCTAGATGACTGGGAAAATGGTGGTGATGCAGTTTGGGGTTGCTCAGAACCCTGAAATGTCAGTGTACAGAGCAGCATCAACCAGGAATGAATTCATGCATTCAAACTTTCTTCTAGTCAAAGTGGCAGGGTTAACTATAATGCCAATAGAGTGGGCTAGATTCCTAATGGGAGTGATCTAGATGGGATTAAGGAATGGTAAATAGCCTGGGGTGGGCCAAGTGCAACAGGGAAATGATCTAGATGGGATTAAGGAGTAATAAATAGCCTGGGATGGGCCAAGAGTGCTTGTGAAAAGACTGTCAAGTATCTAGGTAAGCTGGGGTGGGCCACATGCCTTAGGGGAGATGCCAGTGATCTGGGCTGCTAAAATGTATGGGAATATTCAGGGACTGGGTTGCTTTCAAAGACATGGTCTATTCCTTTTAGGGGTCCAGGGCCCATCACCCCATCACTGGTACTCTTGACAGTAATAGGGAAGTCAGAAAGGTTTGGAATGAAAGATAGTAAGTTTGGTTTTGGTTCAACAAGTAATTCAATAAGCAGCTTGAGAGTTGAGTTGGGCAGTTAGGAGAGGGGTTAGAGCTAAAAAAGTAGACTTGAGAATGGCGTTCATCAAGTTAAATGGTATAGAGGGAGAAAAGAAAAGATGCCGTAAGAGAGTTCTATGGGAAACCCACAGCTAGCAGACCTGACGTGAATAAAGATCCAGCAAAGGAATCTGAGAATGAGGTCAAATTTGTACATGGAGAAGCAGTGGAAAGCAGTGCCATTAAAAACCTACAGAAAACAGAATATCACAGAGAAGAGGGTGATCAATAGTGATCTGATATAACTAAAAAAGCCAATTGAAAGTGTCATCACATTTAAATCACCTTTACAATCACAAAGTCACAAAACCTTTTACTCATTTCCACACTGATGGCTTATTAGTGTACTTGAATACATATTAAATAGACCCAAGTACAGGGAGAACAACAGATTATTTGACATCTTCCATGGAAAACCATTTTCTGTTTCTCTATGTAAAATATGCCAAGACAATAATGTCAAGAACAATTGATATAAAATGCGGACTATTTTAGGGGCACTGTATAAGACTCTTATGTTTCTGTTACTCTTAAAAATTATCATCTTACAAACTGAGCATGCCTTCTGACTTAAAGAGATTGTGTCAAAACATCTTATTAATCACTTAATGCACACAGTAGCAAAGTAGATAACATGCCAGACCTTGGAGTAAAATCCTGCCTCAGGAATTTCTTAGATGGGTAACCCTGGGTAAGTCATATTGACTTCTATCTGCCCCAGTTTCCTCATCTATAAAATGGGGATAATAATAGTACCTGCCTCCTAAGGTTGTCGGAAGAACAAAAATGAGATAATATTTATGAAGCGTTTTGCAAACCTTAGAGCACTATATAAATGCTAACTAATATCATATGGATCCACTGAAAACTACATCAAAAGCCTCTCTATCTCTTGTAATAGTTCTCCAATGACAGCAAAATGTCATTTGGACTTTGTGAGAAATGATTATTTCTAGCTATTCAATCAGAACCAAAGTTTTTGCCCTTTTCTATTTCCTTATCCAGAAATCAACCAGTGTGGGAAATCTCTCTCAAAGATTTACCCAGTCCATGATCTAATCAGATAGCAAAAGAAATTCTAAGTTTAGGCTAATGGGTGCATTCCTACTTATTGTGTTACTCAGACAGGTCTGGGAAAGTGGTGGTTTTCCCATTTGTCAGAAAAGTGATATGGAAATTAACAAGTCTCTTTGACCAAGATTTGGGAAATCCAAGTCACCCAAGACCCAGACTGTCATTTCAATATTCATTTTCTCCTTGTTAACCAATCAGAGTTGATTGCCACCCTTAGGAATAACTACTCTTTCAAGAACATATAAACTATGAGCCCACACTATTAAGGGTCTTTGGTCTAAACCAGAGACAGCCAAATGACTACCTTTTTATTAACAAACATGCTGGCATTATTAATAAAATAATTAAATTACCCAGAAATGTTGTCGCAAACCTTTTAAATGCCACACTTGATAAGTTCTTAATATATCTCAAGGAAAGATAAAATTGAAGATTTCAGTCTCAATTCTGGAAGCCAAATTGAACCAGTAGAGAAAAACAGTACTTAACAAAGAGCTTAATCTTCTACAAGCAGAATGTAAAAAGCTATCAAAGGGGAAGATGTGGTTTTCAAGACACTTATCAGCATCCTGGAATTAAAGGTCAATGAGCAGGTCACATTTAAATAAACATATAAGCAATATCAATTTTTATAAACTTCTGGACCTTTAAGATAGAATGTAACAGATTTGGAAAGTATAAAATTCATACAATATTAACCAAACAGAGCCCATCACCCTAAGGCAACCATGGATAAATAAACATTTCTTCATCAAAAAGTAGGAAGAAGATTGACAGTGTCACAGTACATTTTAAAAACTTAAAGGAAATCTTTTTGAAGCAAGCAACTAGCAAGAATAAAAGCTAACAATAAGCATAAACCAATGGATTTTTTAAAATTTAATCGAAGATATTTACTTCTGGATGAAGCCTTAAAATTGATAAAGTAGAATCAAAAGGTCTTCCATTAGTGACCTCAAAATAAACTCGAAGAATAATTTGTTGAAAGAGAAGAGTCAAAACAATGACTGATGCATACAGATTTCTTCATAGGTGGAAATTTAGGACCAGTTTGTCTTGGTTAAGAAGCCCAGAATTCAAGTCTAGCACATTTCTTGGGTTGGGGGTATACAGGTTAACAGAAAACTCACTTTTCTCTTTTGGATGATATCCACCTTCATGTAGACAGAACCACCCTTTACTAATTTTCCTTTCGGAGTGAATCTGCTAGGAAAAGACAAGAGAAGGAATAAATTTGCCTAATGTTAACTCCTATTTACTAAGCTTCCTCACTCTGATTCCACTGTTTTAACTTGTTGGTATCCAAGGAAGATTCATGTGGTTTGTTACCCCACTTGAAAGTTTACAGAAATATTTTAAGATTAAATTCAATAAGATTCTCTCTCTCTTTTTATTATTTCCAAATTTATCATTGTTTGCATGTTGTCTTTCCCATTAGATTATGTACTTCTAGAAGGCAGAGAATACCTTTTGTCTTTCTTTATATTTTTAATTGTTAGCATAGTACCTGGTATAGCAGGCTCTTAAGACATGTTATCAACTGATAAACTGATGGTCTTCCTGCACATTTATGGCTGTCTTTTGATGGAAAGGGGTCAGAAGGCAGACCCCTTTCTTGGTCAGACATTAGGAGCATGGGGAAATATGAGAAAAACTTCAGTCTGATAATTTATGCAAAGAAATTCCATTTAATTCCATTCACTGCCGCCTGTAAATCTCACTGTCACAGCCCTCTTCTCTAAATTCACTTTCAAAATAATGTGGCAAATAGACCATAAACAATCATGTAAATAATTTTACATAACCAGCAAATTAAAAATTAAACAGAAATTATAAAAAAAAACTTAAAAGAATAAATAACCTTTAGAACATCACTGCACTCTCCCTGGGAGGGAAAAGAAGTTGAAGGGGAAGAAGGGAGGCAGATACTTTACCATCTGCATATGTTATTTATCAGAGGAACTTCAGTACTGATCAGACATGTTCCTTGCTCTGACTTCAGGCTGTTTCATCTGGCTGTGGTAGGCAAAGTGGTGGTGGCAATGATCGGTATTTGTCTTCAAATACCAACCATAGTAGCCACTCCCCTGCCTTTAGTCTTTCTCTCCAGTCTCTTTCTTGCCTCCTCCTCACTGCTGCTTACCTGATTCCAATTGGATTACTAGCTCAGCATCTCCAATCACCCCTATGTCAACGTGCACATTTTTCACTCTTTCTGAAATTTCAACCCTCCTCTTTAAGGACAAGGAAAGAGCAGATAGTCCACTTCCTAGGGCAGTGACACTTTTGCTGTTTCTGGAGGCTAACATAGATAGGTACCCTCCTAACTTCAGATGATTGGCTTTCGATCCCTCTATTACTCAAGAAAATTGAAGAAATTTTGCCAGTAAATGGAAGAAACTTCAAAACGTCACTGCAGGCTTCCAAAAGAAAAAAAAAACACCAAAAAACTTGCCACCTGAAGAATATCTGGCAAGATAAAATCTGGAGGACAGAATTACAGATCATACAGACCTCAGAGTAACATTGAGAATTCATGCATTAAAATATAATAGAATTAGACCACTAAATATAATATTATATTAAGCTAAAAATATTTACATATAATGGAATTAGAACAATAGAATTATGTCTTTCATAAGAGACAGAACTGCTGTTCTTGTATCCTTATGGTGGTGCTAGCAATAGTTTGTTTCCAAGGCTTTGTTCAGCATAAAGCCTCAACTCAAACAGAAAACTACCTCTCCACATCCCTTTACCCTAATTATTGCACACAGTCCATTAATGCTATTTACCAGCATTCCACAACACTTGAAACATTCCCTTAGATTATGCTTTCTGATTCCCCTTCTTGTAATTGCCTAGTGTAACTCATCACAAAAAAATTGTTTGGTAGTCTTACTTTTAGGGAAACACCTGACAGATGGGCTCTGTGTGTGTGTGTGTGTGTGTGTGTGTGTGTGTGTTGTTTTGTGGAGGAGACTATCCTGCCCTGCCAAGACAGAAATTACCATTTGTTGTTAGGTTAGATCTTTCATTACAAGGAGCTGACTCTGACTTTGTGCAGGCATTATGTTTTTTAAAACTTGATTTCTCTTCTCTACTCCTAAGACCTTTGAAATCAGTCTCTCAACCCTTTGTCATCTTGACTCCTGAAAACACTGTAAACTTTGCACTGCCTTAATTGCAAGTAAGCAGTGTCTGAGTCTTAGGAACAAAATAATGTCATTCTGCTCTCCTATAGAATGCTAATTCTTCTTTGCATTTGTGGTCATCACTCAGAGTTCAAAAGAAGTATGTAATGGAGCAGAAGAAAGTCCAGAGGAAGGATTCTTAAATGACTAAGAGAAAATAAGAAGCTTCTGTATAACGAAAGACTCAAAAGATGATGATGTGGATCTGAAAGGACAAGGACTAAGAGGAGATATGCTAATAGTCTACAAAAATCATAAGAGATATAAAATCGAGAGGTGTGCTTGAAAAAGGTAATTAAGACAAATACAAGGAAGTACTACTTTAGATAGTGAGTAGAAACTTATGGAACTAATTACTTCAAGAAGTTTTATAGACTAAAAACATAAATAATATAAAAGCTTTAGCTAAATTCTTCAATAACAGTAGGGAAAATGATGATGTTTTGGTATATACTCCTAATCTTTGCCATCAAATGACATTACTTAAATAATATAATTAGGCAAGTGAAAGAGAATTTTCCAGGTAAAGGAAAGAAATTAGAATCTGTTAGATTGGATTGGCACAGCTATCTATGTATTCTATGGCATTGATATTGAAGAGGTTGTTAATGAGTGCTACTTGGTCTATCAAAATTTATTATTCATGCAAAATACACCAAGATATATAACGATACCATGAAAAAAAAGCATTGACTGCAAAGTCAGAGTACATATGTTCCAATCCTACCACTGATGATTACTACCTGTATAACCTTGAGCAAGTAACTTTAGATCGCTGGGCCACAGTTCTATAAAAATAAAATGAAGGGATTAGACTAGGTGGTCTCTAAGGTCCCTTCTATCTCTAAAACTATTATCCTATATTGGCCATATGATGCTAAGGAGCAATATAAACTTTCCTTTTCACAGACTAGTGGACTTTATTTGCTTGCTTTGTGTTGTCTTTGTTGCAAGTGAAAAGTAGGATTTTGTCTACAAATTAGCTCATAATAAATGAAAGTCAATTATATATTTAAAAAGAAAAACAAAATAAAATGTTGAAAAGTTTTCTTTAAACCATGCACTTTAAAAATGTTCCTGGAAAAAGGGCCTCCATTCTTTTATTTAAAGAAAAACTGAAGATGTGGTAGAAATATTTTTGTAGTAATTTTTATGAATACACTTTATTGGCATTCTTTGTTGGCCCTCCCAATATGAATTAGTTCCTTACATGATTTACTTCTGTTTCCAACAAAGAAGGCTGAAACTAATTTAATTTAAAACAGTCTGCATTTTTATTATGATGTGTGTGGCAGTTCTCACCTTCTATCTTTCCCAATTATTGTAACATTTTTTTTCTTTTTGCCATCATGAATTTTTATATACACATATATTCACAAGCACATTCATACACATATATGTACCATACCTACATATGTGTGTATATGTTCAGACTCTCATACTATATCAAGGAAAGGCAAACAAAGAAATAATATGGTCCACAGTCTGCTGATGCTACAGACATCTGCATAAGCACACAGTGCAATTTTGCTTGAATCATACAGATTGGTAAGAATAAATGGATCCTTTTGATAATGGTATCTTGGGTCTAAAATACAGTCAGTGATAGCATAGCTTTCACTTAAAGGGCTGAAAAAAATAGGATACATGAACACAATGGAATATTATTATGCCATAAGAAATGATAAAAAGGGATAGTTGTGGAGAAAATTGGAAAATCTTGTATGAATATATGCAGAGCGAAGTAAACAAAACCAGGAGAATAATTCTGTATTTTGTATCTATATATTAGTACCTTTCTAGGCATAGAGTCTTTAAAAATGCCTTTTAACCATTCTCACATTCATTCAACAACTTTGATACTTACAACTATGTAGGTACTGAGTTATTCCCGTTTTACAGAGAAGTAAATTGAAGTATAAGAGAGATTAAGCAACTTGCTCCTGGTCACTCATTTATCATCAAGATGCATTTTGAACCTGGTTTCTCCTAACTCCAAGAGCAATATACTTTCTATCTCCCCAGGCAGATTCCACATTCTTAGAAGACAGGGACCAGAAGTAGAAAGGGGGCATTTAACAAAAAAGAAATTTCCTAACAAATAGAGCTATCCAAAAGTGGAATGGGATACCTTGGGAGGTAGTGAGTTCCTGACCATTGGAAGTCTTCAAACATTGGATGATCACTTATTAATATGTTGTAGAAAAATTTCCTTTTAGGTATGGGTTGAACCAGTGGCCTCTAAAGTCCCCTGTAACTCTAAAATTCTGTGATCTTAAAATCTATTTATGTACCTAGACAGACTGTTACCTCACAATATATTATTCTTCTGGTAATAGCTGGCCTTATATACCTCAAAATGTCCTCAAGCTTTAGTAGCATTAGATTGTTTCTTATTTGTTTTGTTTCTGAAATCTATATTAAGTGGAAAAATTGAGCTACGGATATAATAAGATGTCTAATAGCAGCCATGCAGAAAAGTTTATTAGTATCAGAAGTAGGGATAGAGGAACCTATTCTGTACTGGGAAAGCATTCAGTCAATCAATAAACATTTATTAAGCATGTGTCAGGCAATGGATACAGAGCACTAGGATACAAAGAAAGGCAAAAGGGAGTCCTGAAGCAGAAGACCTGGGTTCAAAAACAGGCTCTGACAAGTTGCTTTAAGAAAAGTTCACTGAGAATTTTAAAGTGAGCTGTTATTTTAATTTCTTCTTTTTCTAGATTTTTTTTAGTTGCATGCCCAATTCATTGATCTCCTCTTTCTCTATTTTATTGATGTAAGCATTTAGAGATATAAAACTTCCCCTAAGAACCACTTTTGCTGCATCCCATAAGTTTTAGTATGTTGTCTCATTATTGTCATTCTCTTTTATGAAGTTATTGATTATGTCTATGATTTGTTGTTCGACCCACTCGTTCTTTAGGATTAGATTATTTAGTGTCCAATTATTTTTTAGTCTATCTTTCCATGGTCCTTCATTACATATAATTTTTATTGCATGATGAT